GCAGCACGGAGGGCTGGCTGCCCCCAGTCCCACCCCTTCTGCCTAAGGCCCCGCCTCTTTCGGGAGTGTGGAACCTGCCTCCCACCCACTTGTCGGCTCCCCTGCTCAGCGAGCAAAGCTGTACTCCGAGTTCAGGGTGAATCTGAGTTGTGCTACACCCCTCTCTAGAGGCATGGATGCCTTGCTGAAGTGCATGGGAATATGCCGGGAGAGCAGGCTCCCGGAGATGACATCTGTCGGGCAGGAGTAAAACCTGAAGTTTGCACATTAGGTTCGTTCAGAAAGTAGCCTAGAGGTCAGCAAATCCAAGATTCCACCAAGGCGCCTCCCATCTGAACTCACGTTAACATCGCAGACGAGAAACAGAGAAAGGTCCCTGTACAGCAGCTAAAAATGGCCGAGTTCGTTCTGTAGAGAGAGCAACCCCCTGGCAAACCACGTAAGAGCAGGCTCCCTGCACATCTCCCCAGCCCGGATGCCGTTGTCCTGGTCTGGAAGGAACCTGACATGGAGAATCAGTTTTCAACGCTCCATCCAGCCTTTGCCCTCTCTGCTGGAACGGCCACCAAAAGGTGCCATTTAGCACCCCATGGGATGACGCTACTGTGATGGGGACCTCTACGGAGATCACCTGCTTGCTTCACACGAACCAGTCTCAGAGGAATAATATTTTTCATTCACTAGCAGCCCAAGGATTTGAACTAACAACCTGCACTGACAGGCTGTAAAAGGCTGGGCCTGTAATGCTCCCTTTTGCCTCACCTCAGTTTACCCCCCTCAGGGCTGCTTAAATAAACTCCACCTGTCTTGGGTCCTCTAAACATTCCCCTGCCGTCTGTGATTTATGTACACACAATTCACACCACCACTCAGTCTTGGGCCTTTTCCCAGGAGAGTCCTCCTCTTCCCCAAGTCACTCGCAAGCTTTCCTGCCTGAACCTTTGGTCCCCTGGTATCTCGACTCAGTTTCCCCTTTTCCCAGAAGTGGATCCCAGCCTTCTGCTCTTGGCAGGAGCCTTCCAAGACTCTGTCCCCAGATTCCTCTCCCCTTTCCTCTTTATAGAGCCCAGGTATCTTCCCGTAAGCTCCAAAGAGCAGCAAATAAATCACTCACAGGTGCACTGGATGATGCTCCCGCTTCAAGGGGCCAGTCACCCAGTGACACAGGCACTACATTCCATTACCAATTTCCTGTGCCATCTGCTAGGCTACTACAAGTCCCATCCATCACTCTCTCAAGTTGCAGTGGGAGAGGTCCAGGTGGGATATTAGGAAAAACTATTTCACTAGGAGGGTGGTGAAGCACTGGAATGGGTTCCCTAGGGAAGTAGTGGAGTCTCCATCCCTAGAGGTGTTTACGTCCTGGCTTGACAAAGCCCTGGCTGGGTTGGTTTAGTTGGGATTGGTCCTGCCTAGAGCAGGGGGCTGGACTTGATGGCCTTCTGAGGTCTCTTCCAGCTCTAGGATTCTCTGATTCTCTGCTGTGCTCTCACCGTCCCATCTGGCCGTAAGCTCTATAAATCTATGACCCCCAGCTCTGTTTTTATCTACCCATTATTCACATATGGTACAAGAGCTGTATAGGATCATAGGATTGGAAGAGACCTTGGGAGGTCATCAAGTATCCCCCTCCCCCCGCTAAAATCCCAACTCAATCATCCCCGCCAGGGCTTTGTAAAGCCGGGACTTAAAAACCTCCAGGGATGGAGATTCCACCCCCTCCCTAGGGAACCCATTCCAGTGCTTCACCACCCTCCCAGGGAAATAGTTTTTCCTAATGTCCAACCTAGACCTCCCCCACTGCAACTTGAGCCCATTGCTCCTCGTTCTGCCATCTGCCCCCACTGAGAACAGCCTCTCCCCATCCTCCATCCACAGTAGACGAAATCCCGCAGTCTGTGTTCAGGGGGAAGCTTGTCCTGCTGACTGGAGGAACAGCATGGCCCTACTCGCTGGCTATGTCCCCATAGGTATGCATGCAGGCTGAGCAGATTGGTGTCTTGGAGCCACGGGCTGAAACGGGGCAGGTCCACTGCAGAGGGGGACATTTTACTTTCAGTCCTTACTCGGGCCCCTAAACCTCAACAGAAGTTTGGCAAAACAATGAGTAAGGATGCGGCTACGTGGGAGCCGGCTCTCAAGAACTCACTCGTGTTGGACGAGACCGATTTGCCGATGTCTGCCAAGGATCGGTGGATCGGTTTCTTGGTCTGGTGGCGGTGTTTCCTCAGGAGCACGTAGCTTATTTTCTCTCTGAGCTCTGGCTTGAGCAGACCCTCTTCTATTTGCTTTTCGATAACATCATCTGAAAGAAGAACATTGGAAGCGCATGCGTGACTCACTGGGCTGCGGCATGGCAGGAAAAAAAAAATCCCCCTCCTTGCAAACTTGAGAACTGCATCATGTTCCAAAGACTCAAGGTCAGACGGGACCGTCATGAGGATCTGACCTGATGGCTGCATATCGCAGGGGGCAGGATCTCACCCACCCACTCCTGTAATAGCCCATAACCTCAGGCTGAGTTACTGAAGTCCCCAAATCATGATTTAAAGACCCCAAGTTACAGAGAATCCATCTTTTACACCAGTTTAAAACTGCAAGTGACACATGCTCCACCCTGCGGAGGAAGGCAAAAATACCTCAGTGCCTCTTCCCCTCTGCCTGGGGAAAAATTCCTTCCTGACCCCAAATATGACAATCACTTTGACCCTGAGCACATGGGCCAGACCCACCAGCAAACTCCTGGTAAATAATTCTCTGTAGTAACTCAGAGCCTTCTCCATCCAGTGTCTCATCACGAGCCCTGGGAGATATTTGCTGCTAGCAGTTGCAGATCAGCTACATGCCGTTGTAGGCTGTCTTGTCGTACAAATGCTGTAGAGACTACATGGTGGAATTAGATCATCATAGACAAACTCACACTCATTTACTTAGAAAAAGTCCCAGGCTTTCTCAGGGGGTTTGCCTGTTTAATGGAACATTGAAACAGGGCTTCATTGCTTTTGTTTTCTTACCGGTATCATGCCCAGTCCCTGTTTGCCCTGTGCCTTGTGTCCTCATTAACACCCGCGCGATCGCTGTGTAACGCGCTAGCAGGGCGTTGCATGAACTTTTCCTCGGTGCGAAATGACGACACAGGAGGCAAAGCAGGAGAGACCAACGCCGGTTCTGATTAACGGGCCAATTCCCGCAGTCGTTGCACAGGCAAAACTCCCACCAAGGGGGAGAATCAAAGCGAGAAGATCCCGAACAAACGACATGGCAACGGAGCAGGAAGAGAGAGGTGCAGCGTGCTCTCTCCAGGATGCTCTTCCTCGCAGTGTCTGGGCTGCAGTGAGGTCAGCAGCAATTCACAGGCGGCATTAACATGCCTTTCCCGTGATACAGAAATCACCGTGTTTGTCACCTCGCACGGAAATTGTGAAATCTGGTTTGACTTTCTCCTTTTGTTATTTCAGTGCAGGGTATGGAGAGACCGACCTCTTCTGATACGCTAAACTAATCCGGCTGTCCTCTCTTTTACACCCATGTAAATCCCACGGATTTCAGTGGAGTTGCTAATGATCTGACATTAGCACAGACTGGACTTCCCTGGTCAGACACCGTTCTGACTGGTCCTGGATGAAGGATTTTGCTGGACCAGAGGAAGTCATTTCTGGCTCCCCTGCCACCGGTCCCTGCAGCCCTGGCCCAGCCACTGTATCAGAGGTAGCAGTGCGGGGTGGCAGCGGGGTGGGAGCCAGCATGTGCTGGGATCCAACTTAAAAGCTGGCTCCTGTCACACCCCGACTCCTGGGAACTGGCTGCCACCCAGGGCTGCTGCCCCTGTATCACAGGCAGCAGTGTGGGGAGGTAGCCAGCTCTCCAGGAGCAGGACTGGCAGGCAGGAGCGGGTATGTGCCCGCAGCTGGCTTAGAAGCCGGCTGCCAGCGTGCAGCAGCTCCCTGGGAGCTGGCTGCCGCCCTGTGCTGCAGGTGCATGTAACCATGGAACTTCTGAAATGTTCAGCCGTTACCCCGTTACCCAATGGCCCGCATGTTAACATCCCTAGTTGCTCCATTGAAAGGCTGACTCCAGTGCTGTCTTTCCAGGGGCAGTAATACTCAGCAAAGGGACAACCAAAAGGAAGTCGTAGAGTTCTAAGGGCACTGGGCTTTCTCGCTTGAACTTGCGGAGCAAATCGGCTGAGTTTGTGACTCACTTTCCGGGAACAGAATCACAGAAATGGCTGCGAAGCTGAGGTGATACATGGGGGGCACGTGCCCCAAACACCATGGGCAGGCGGGTCAAAGGATGGCCAGTGACTGGTGGGAAGACTAGGGATGGGGGGAGTCTGGCGCCCCTCCCCTACCCACTGGCAGCTGCAAGGCAAGTGGAACAACGGCTTCAGCTCGCTGCGCTGCTTCGGAGAGAGAGGCCCTGCATTCACCCCCAGGAAGTGGAGCCACATGGCAGGGGAGCAAAGCAAATGGAGGCCATGTTGCTCTGCTTGCCCTGCAATGCTGGGGAGGGGCAGCAGACACCTGCTCCTGGCGCTGGCCTCTGGACCTGTTAGTCCCCCCAGGCCACATCGCTCAGGAGCAGGGAGAGGCGGAGGGGGTTGCCCTTGAGGTGGGGGAGGGGACTGTGTGGCTCCCCCACCCCCTTCATCAGTCACCTCTGTTGAGAAGTCACCAGGTCCAGGGACTCGTGCCGAGGCAGGACCAAGTAAACCTGGAGCACCCCCGACAGGTGCTCGTTCCACCTGTTTTCCAAAACTCCCATTAAGGGGATTCCAGAGCTTCCCCCAGAAGCCTATTCCAGAGCTTAACTTCCCCGAGAGTTAGGAAGTTTCCCCTAATGTCTAACCTGGCTGCAGAATAAGCCCATTACTTAATATCCCCCCTTCAGTGGATTTGGGGAGCAAAGAATCACAGTTCTTTTTATAGCTGCCATTCATATATTTGAAAACTTGTCAAATTCCTCTTCAGACTACACAGGCCCAATTTTTTAACCTTTCCTCACAGGTCAGGCTTTTAGAGATGTGTGGAGTATTTGCATCTAATTACATTTCCATGTAACAATATATAATCAAAGGAGAAAAATAAATAATCTAAGTACATGAATGCATGTAGGTTAGAAATCAATATTAGCTTCATTTCTCAGCTGTTCCACACATCCTGCTGCACAGCCGTTGCATTCTCTCATTATATTATGTAATGCACCATGAAATTAACATTCATTAATAAAAATGGAAAGCAAAACCCAGCATTAGACACTGTTAGTTTCAATGTAATTGTGCATTTGCTTTTTTCAGCTTTTTTTGCCTGACGGGTCTCAGAAGGCTTTACACACGTTAATGAGAATCCTTACTAGCGTCTGCAGGTCACAGATTAGAATCCAGGAGTCCTATCTCCAACTATTAGTCACAGGATCCTCAACACAAGTGTTTTTTAAAAAAAAATGAGTAGTCCTATGGCACCTTAGTATCATGAGATTAGTGGGTAAAACTCACTTCATCGGATAAGTTGGAATGGAAATAACAGAATCATGTTAAAAGTTAGGAATATAGGTCATTATATTAAGAATTTACAATTGTAGGATCAGTGTTAATGAGGCTAATTAAGTGGTCTGGATGTGTCCCAATCGTAGGTTTTGATGGGAAAATGCAGATGTTAAAGGCAGGGGAAATTGGCTTTGTAATATGCCAAACAATTAATGACTTTATTCAAGCCCAGGGTAACAGTGTCAAATCTGTAGATGAATTCCAGTTCAGCAGTCTCTCTCTATAATTGGGTGATGAAATTCCTTTGTAGAAGAATGGCTACTCTTAAGCCGGTGACCGAGTGATCATGCAGGTTAAAATGTTCCCCTGCAGGTTTCTGCATGTTACCATTTCTGATGTCTGATTTGTATCCATTTATCCTTTGTTCGGTTTGGCCAATACACATACAAGTGTTTTTTGTTAGGCTGCAAGCCTAATATCTAATGGCATATCTGCACAACAGGGCTAAACTCAAAATAAATGATGCAACTTGAACTACGCTAATTACGTAGCTTAAGTCGAAATAGCTTATTTTGACTTTTGGCACTGTCCACACAGCAGTTATTTCAAGATAGAGCACTCTTCTCCAGATTTCCCTTACTCCTCGTACAATGAGGGTTACAGGAGTCGGAGTAAGCAGTCCTCCTGCTCAACATTATTTCGACATTATGTTAAAATAACCGCTTGTGTGTAAACGTGGACTACACATGCGTTATTCCGAAATAACGCTGCTGCGTAGACATAGCCTAACAGAGAGACAAGGAGCCCATCTAATATTTTGGGACTGACACTGCTACAATTACACTGCATAAGACCCACCAAATATGAGAAACTAACTTGCCAACCACCATCGCTACCCTTCATTGTCTAACGCAACACACTTGAACAACACACAGCAACACTCTTGACCATCTCTAATCCAGCAACTCTGAGAACAGGGTGTGCCAGGTTAAATATTTTTGCGGGGCCAGGGTGGGCGTTGCAGGATCTGGCCGTGAAGGGGATGGGGCGCTTGCCTGATGTCCCGCACCAAGGGCACTTGTTGTTTTGTGCCCCGCAGTGCTCCCAGGCACTGCCTTGCTGCTAAGGAAGTGGTGGGGAAAGGCCACTGGGGAAGCGCGCTGCTGCGCTGTTACTACCCCAGCTGGAAGAAGGGGAACGGTAGAACACAGAGCCGCTTCCTCCTCCATCCCATGGGTGTTCTTGGAGTACGGAGGTTCAAGTGCATTGGAGTGGAGTGACAGATAAAGAACCTCACTGCACCTGGCTGCAAAGGTGCAACAGTGTACACAAGAGGCAAGGAAAAGTGGGTGTCAAATGCAAGCGTATCAGAAACCCTTGCAGGAGATATATTGTACTTTAGGTATGTAGCCCCCCAGCTGCTCAAAGGACCCAATTCCGTTTGATTTAACTGGGAATCAGGAAAGCTCTGTGCCTTTGAGGGTCTGGCCTTCTGCACTTCACAGCCTGTGATGTATTTCTCCTCGCCACACTGCTGTCAGCGCTGTGATCCCTACTTTTACAGATGAGAAACTAACGCTCAGATTTTTAACAGTACTCAGGCACGGCTGTGCTGAGTGTGGCACAGCTTCACTGATTTAGGAGCCTAACTCATTTTCCAAAAGGGATTTAGGAGCCTAAACAATCAAGATTTTGGCTCCTAAACGCCTACTCCCCTTGGAAAATAAGGCAATTCAGATTCAGGCTCCTAAATCTGCTGGGCACTGCAATGTTGAGAGCTGTGAGGCCTCCGTATCTTTACAAATCTGGGCCTAGTAAAGTGCCCAGGAAGTTTGCGACAGACCAGGGAACTGAACTCTGATCTCCCCAGGCCTACACTGGCAGCATCACAGCCTCTGGCACCGAAAAAATGTGATGCCCACCTCATCTTATTATTTGTATTTACCCTATTTTATCGTTTACACATGTCGGCGAGCAGAGAAGTGGAGAATCAGGTTCTATCTAGCCAGTTCCATGGTGCATGCAACACTCTCTCTAGTTCTAGGTGACGCTTCAGAGCCACAGTGAAATCATTTCAAGATTAGGCCCCCCGGCCGCTGCTGTTTGTATCGAGAGGTCAGTACCTATGATCTGCGGTAAGGAGTAGCCGTCTAGGTCTAGGAGCACTGTCCCTGTCTGTAGACACGTGCGCAATTCAAACAGGCTGTGCAAAGATAACGTCGACACGTGAGGTTTGCTCCATCTCTCCCCTCCTTCTTCCACCTTTTCTTCAAACTTTATCCACCTGAAACGAGAAAAGCCACGGTTGGGATCAGGACAGGTCCGACTGCCTGCTTGGCCAATGGCACCTCTGTCATAGAACCACAGAAGCCTAGGGCTGGAAGAGACCTCAGGAGGTCATCAATTCCAGCCCCCTGCCCAAGGCAGGAACAATCCCAACTAAATCATCCCAGCCAGGGCTCTGTCAAGCCTAGACTTAAACACCTCTAGGGATGGAGATTCCACCCCTCCCTAGGGAACCCATCCCAGCGCTTCACCACTCTCCTAGGGAAATAGTTTTTCCTAATATCCAACCTAGACCTCTCCTACTGTAACTTGGGACCATCGCTCCTTGTTCTGCCACCTGCCCCCACTGAGAACAGCCTCTCGCCATCCTCTTTGGAACCCCCATGCAGGAAGCTGCTATCCAATCCACCCTCACTCTTCTCTTCTGCATACTAAATAAGCCCAAACCCCTCAGCCTCTCCTTGGAGGTCATGTGCTCCAACCCCCTAATCATTTTGGTTGCCCTCCAGTGGATCTTCTCCAATGTGTCCACATCCTTTCTATGGGGCGTGTGTGTGTGTGTCCCCAGAACTGGACACAATACTCCAGATGTGGCCTTACCAGAGCTGAATAAAGGGGAATAATGACATCTCTGGATCTGCTGGCAATGCTCCTTCTAATGCACCCTAATATGCCATTTGCCTTCTTGGCTACAAGGGCACACTGGTGACTCATACCCAGCTTCTCATCCACTGTAATCTCCAGGTCCTTTTCTGCAGAACTCCTACTTAGCCAGTTGGTTCCCAGCCTGTAACCATACTTGGGATTCTTCCATCTCAAGTGCAGGACTCTGCACTTGTCCTTGTTGAACCTCATCAGATTTCTTTTGGCCCAATCCTCTAATCTGTCTAGGTCACTCTGGACCCGATCCCTGCCCTCCAGCGTATCTACCTCTCTCCCTAGATGAGTGTCATCTGCAAACTTGCCGATGCATCCCCTCATCCAGGTCATTAATAAAGATGTTGAACAAAACCGGTTCTAGAACCGATCCTTGGGGCACAAACGGAGCATCGTTCAGAGTACAAACATGAACAGAACAGATCGATCACGGGGCAGCAACAGGCTGTGTGCACCCGACAGGCATTCATGATCTATAATCTGGAGTAGCAGTCAAAGCCTTGCTTATAGCTGAGGTGCTTTGGGAGAGATGCAGCGGAGGACAAAGAGGCATGATTCAGGACTGGGGTAGCTAGAAGAGTCCTAGGTCAGGGTGGTGGTGCATTGCCAAAGCTGCACAGCTCGAGGAAACTTACAAGACCGTTACCAGCTGCATTAGCACTGTGTTATATGGGGCCCTTCTTTCCATCCTCAAACCACCCCTGTGCATTACAGACGAGGAAGTGGTGGCAGAGAAGTGACATCATTTGTCTAAGGTCACTGTCCGAAAGAGGAACAGAACCTGCTGGGTTTGCTAAATTCTACTGCTGGGATCCGGACCTCCTCCCGTCCCCTTTCTCAATAGACTACTTATGGTGCTATGAAAAAAATAGATAGTCAACTCTTCAAGGCAGGGAAACCATTTTATCAGTGAAGTTCCATGCACATCTATGGAAGAATGATGTGTGTAGGTATACAACCAATCCATGTTAAAAGGCCCGGTATCACCACATGCCTGAAGCAAGGCATCTGATGCAACAAACTCTTTGCCCATCCTTGAACAATTAAAATTTAGTCCTCAGTTGGTCACCTGAGCCCTTAAACATCAAGGCAAAACAACCATTTTATTGTACCCCTTCAACTGACAGAGTCTTGGGATTCTGGGTTATGCATGGTTCACTTAGCACACAGTCAACCTGTGGAACTCCTTGCCAGAGGATGTTGCGAAGACTAGGACTTTAACAGGGTTCAAAAAAGAGCTAGATAGATTCATGGAGGCTAGGTCTATCAGGGTATGTCTACACTACCCCGCTAGTTCGAACTAGGAGGGTAATGTAGGCATACCGCACTTGTAAATGAAGCCCGGGAAATTCAAATCCCGGGCTTCATTTGCAAGTGCGGGATGCCTACATTACCCCGCTAGTTCGAACTAGGAGGGTAATGTAGGCATACCGCACTTGTAAATGAAGCCCGGGAAATTCAAATCCCGGGCTTCATTTGCAAGTGCGGGATGCCTACATTACCCCGCTAGTTCGAACTAGGAGGGTAATGTAGGCATACCGCACTTGTAAATGAAGCCCGGGAAATTCAAATCCCGGGCTTCATTTGCAAGTGCGGGATGCCTACATTACCCCGCTAGGTCGAACTAGCGGGGTAGTGTAGACATACCCTCAGAGTGGAAAGGAGTAACTCTTACCCTTTCTCGCCCAGTTTCATCCAGCACTGCTCTTCCAAAGAAGCAAGCAAGCCTTCTTATCTTGCCTCCTGGGTCCTGACTGGCTAATCTCTCCTCCTGCTGCCATTCTAGCCCCTGGAGGACCAAGTCTTGTTGGTTCTGCTGGTACCAGAATTTGAGAGGTGGTGTTCCGCAGGCTAACTCATTCCCCCCCTTTCCCAGACAATACTTTTCCCTAGGGCGGAGTGTGTCAGGGCAGTTGATGCTTCAACCGGGGGCACAGACAACCTAGTTCGCGTCTCTTGGAAGGCCACTGGGAAATTCATTTAATCAGCTTCACAGTGATCAGCATTCCCCAGACCGTAACCTGTGCTGTTCATTCCAGTGCTGCCTTGTTCGCATGGTGGCTACATTGTTTGCGTGAAGGATTTCAGCATTAGGAAACTGCGAGAGACCCAGCACGCTGACTGAGCAAAGTTTCATGCTCAGAGAGGTAGTGTTTAGAACACACCTTGGCCATTCAAAAAGATTACAGAGCTGTAGAGACGTTTGTTAATGAACACTATTGCCGCTGTTATGCCACTGTGCGGTGACTAAACTGAGATGGGGAATGAATGTGACGTATCATCGCGAGTCAGTGGCAGAAACGAGCTTAGGAGATCTCACGCCTAGTCATCTGCTCCAACCACGAGACCCACAATCCCTTCTGTGATCCGGGAACAGATCACAGGAGTCTGGACTTCTAGCCTCCCCCTCCAACGATGAGATCATGCTCTTCCACCAGCCCTAAGAGCTGCAGTCTGACTTCCTGCTCCAATCACTAGACAATGCTCCCCCTTAAAAAAACAACCCCAACCTGTTCTGCTTGTAATGTTTTGCCTCAGTTTCTTTACATTCATCACAAAGAGTCACACACACAAATGAATGAGAGCAGATTTCTGCCGGCTCCCTGAGAAGAGGACTCGTGCTCCAATTAAGCACAAGTAATTCTCGGCAACGTGCCTGTATTTATTTTGGAAATAAAGCCGCTGTTCCTTTAAAGGAGGGTTGCCGATGCCCAGCTCCATGAATTCTCATGGATTAGTCAGTCTAGGGCTTAACTTGGCAGCTTTTAACTGGTACAACTTGGATTTTGGCTCATGTCACAGCAGCGGGGACAGAGGGAAAGAACAGAGGACAACGGGGCTTTAAAAAAAAAAAGAGCTGCAGAGTACATGCTAATTCTGCCTGGAAATGCTGGAAACAACTCTGGATTATCCGGGCTGTGATTCCAGGGGCATACCTGGTAGTTCCTTCTCCCCACTAGCTCTGCTAGGCTGGCACGAGAGATCTAAACTACAGTGGGCAGGCACATGGACACACTGCCAGGTGTTTTCCCCATTGGGGGGACTCGTTTAGATCATCTCTCACTTCAGAGCTCTGCTGCTCAGTTAGAATTCGGGATCCCATTGTCTTGAACCAAGGGGAAGCTCCTTCCCATGCAGGAGTCCTCCTGCCTGAGCAGAAGAAAGCAGAATTCACCCACTCAGCAGTGAAGAAAGGAAATACGAGTCATAGAATTATAGAGCTGGAAGAGACCTCAGCAGGTTATCAGGTCCAGCCCTCTGCCCAAGGCAGGACCAATCCCAACTCAATCAACCCAGCCAGGGCTTTGTCAAGCTGGGACTTAAACATCTCTAGGGATGGAGATTCCACCCTCTGCCTAGAGAACCCATCCCAGTGCTTCACCACCCTCCTAGTGAAATAGTTTTTCCTAATATCCAACCTAGACCTCTCCCACTGTAACTTGAGACCATTGCTCCTTGTTCTCCCATCCATCACTACTGAGAACAGCCTCTCTCCATCCTCTTTGGAACCCCCCTTCAGGAAGTTGAAAGCTGCTCTCAAATCCCCCCTTACTCTCCTCTTCTGCAGACTAAACAAACCCAGATCCTTCAGTCTCTCCTCATAGGTCGTGCGCTCCAGCCCCCTAATTATTTTGATCGCACTCTGCTGGACCCCCTCCAATGCGTCCACATCCTTTCTATAGTGGGGGGCCCAGAATTGGACACAATACTCCAGATGTGGCCTCACCAAAGCTGAATCACTTCTCTAGATCTGCTGGCAATGCTGGTGCTATAAATCCAGTTCAGGAGAAGGCAACAGGGAACCCTTACTTCACCCAGCTAGTGGATTTTGCAGGAAGCGCATGGTGGCAAGTGCGCTGTCTGATTGACGTGTGATGGATTGTGAAGGCTGACTGACAAACCAAAGGCTATTAATGGAGCCGAGGAAGATGACAGTGTGATGTAGTCGTTAGAGCACCCATAGTTCCTAGTCCCGGCGCTCATGTGGATTTGATGTGTGATCTGGGCAAGCCACGAATGGCCTCTGGATGCCTCAGTTTTGTGTGCCGAATCTGAGACCAACCAGGGCCTGTTTTCGGAAGTGGTGGGCACCTAAGACAGTGAGTGGCAGGAGCACAGCACCTCTGGTAATCAGGTTTAATTGTGCCGAGCAAGCTGCTACCAGCCTTAAAAAATAAAATAAAATGGCCCTTAAGCTTGCTGGTGCCTCAGTGTCTCCTCCACGACAACCATAAAAGCGAGAGCCCCGTGAGGATACAGAATCGGTATCCGTCTCTGCCACAGTGAGCCGTGGAGGCAGATACCTGCGGACACGCAGAAACGGACACAGTTCCGCAGCTG